TTGAATTTCAATTTTTACTTCTTTTAAGATTTCATATTACACATTGATGTACTTTAATTCGTATTTGTTTAAAATATGTGCTTCGAAAATTGTGAAATTGTGTAACTATTTTTTGTTTTTTTTTTTATAGTTTAGTAAAAATAAAAAAGTGTCTTGTATATATTTAAGTGGTGTAATATGTACATCAGACACTCGTCGATGAAACTGCATACATCGCGTTAATATAAATGTAATTAAATAATAGATTTATGTACTCTATCGATCAAACATAAATTTGATCTCGTTATGGTTATGGATATGGCGATATGCATAATTGCGTATGCATTTTGTAATACGACGCAAGGTGCAATATTGTTTATATTTTTTTTATTTTTAAAGCGGTGTTGATTAATTTTTAAAAATTGTGAGATATATTCATAATTATTTAAGTTTTTCATAATGTGTCTTGAATAATTTCCTATGTGTATTTGTCACTGTATTAATAGATTGATAAATTTGTATGAAATTGAAACATTTTTCTATTCATATATTTGTATATTAAAAAAAGCATGCATCAGARACATGCAYTTTTTCATATTCACTTGTGTTTAAATATAGAAAAACACATTTTCTAATGCATCGAGAATTCGGTATTTTTAAATGTCCATTTATTTGTCATTTAAATTCTTTTTTCTTTAAATTTCATTATTCATTAAATAATTTAAATTAAAAAGTTTTACATAATAAATAAAGTTAAACTCTTATTCTTACGGAAAGAATACTATATCTAGTAATAAATCAATCTTCAAAGGTTTACAAAATATCAAAAAACAGTAATGTCGTTTCTTGTTTAAGTAAATTTCCAATCGGACATACTTCACGCAGGACCAGAAAGAAATTTATTTTATTAAGTAGTTTGCGAAAAAAATTTTTAAACTTATAGCTGTTAAATCTTAATGATTTTTATATTAAATAAGGGTACACACTTCGTCTTACACGAACAATACTTTTTCAAGTTGAAAGTCTCGCGTTTTAAATACTTAAATTCCTATAAAATTAAATGCTTCAAAGGAATTTTCTTTCACACATAGCTGTCACATCTTTGGAACGTTCTGGTCCAAATTTTCTATAGTTTTTGATGTTAAATTTCTATAAAATTTATTTTAAATGATAGTACACTCTTTGCTCTACACGTACAATACTTTTTTAGGCTAGTAGTCTCGCGTTTTAAATACTTAAAATTCCATAAAATGAAATGCTGCAAAGTATATATATTTTACACATAGCTTTCATATTTTTGGAACGTTCTCGTCAATATTTCTTATACTTAAAGTTGTCAAATTTTAGTAAAATTTATTTTATATTAAAGTACACTCTTTGCCCTAAACGTACTATACTTTTTTTTGGCTAGTAGTCTCGCGTTCTAAATACTTAAAATTCCATAAAATGAAATGCTGCTAAGTACATATATTTTACACGTAGCTGTCACCATTTTATTAATGGATATTTACAACAATGTCAGTTAACAAAAGTGGAGGTAAAAGAATGATAGTTATAAGTAAAAATACATTTTTTTTTAATAAGAACTGGAACGGAGAATTGTTATAAAGAAAAATAAGAAACCGAAGTTTCTGTATTATCTGTTTTATTCGTTACAAATATTTGTTCGATTATTATTTCGATATTTATTCGTAGCAATAATAAGTTTATTCTTTTAGCATAGGTATGAAATGATTTTACTGGAACAGAATGTGCATTACTTTCAACAATGATAAATAGACACAGTACGCACGCGCGCGCGGCGTGTTTCTATTATAAATAAGTATTATAATATATAAGTCTATAATAAATACTATACATTTTAATTTTTTTCATTCCAATATTAAATCATTAAACAATCTCATTAAAACAAGAGAAGAAAACAAATTATAAATTCTGTCTTCTCTTTGAGATTTAAAAATATTCATATAACGTAATCTACTGTATTGATCTTACAATTAAATAATATACTCGATTTCTAATAGTAATTCTTATTACATTTTTCCAGCCTTTATATTTGAATAAAATAAATATTAATAATAAATATCACGTTTTGTATCTAATGAATTCTATATTATAATTATTAAAATTTTTCATGTTATTTACATGAAATATATAAGATAGTACAGGTCTCTGCTAATGCAGTTACCTGCATAGTCAATGTAATAATCGATTATTTATGTCATAAGCGCCATCTCGAGTTGTAACCTAACCTACACGTAGTACGCTACTCGTAGTACGCTACACGTAGATGGAGTGGTTATATTAATAATTGTTAACGAATGTTATTTAGAATAAGTTTCATTAATACATATATAGTGATCGATTATAATTATTGTGGAAGTCGTCATGGAGCCCCAAGATATTTATTACAATATTGCTGAATACGTCGAGACGGTAATTGATTGTCGATTAAAATGATTTTACGAGAACATAACATTTCTGATGTTTACGTTACAGGCATCAGGAAATAAAGTGAGTAGACAGACTGTTCTGTGTGGATCACAGAATATAGTGTTACATGGAAAGGTAATAGTGCAATCAGATGCCATAATCAGAGGGGATTTAGCAAATGTAAAGGTTGGTCGGTATTGTATTATTAGCAAGAACGCTGTGATACGACCACCTTTCAAAAAATTTAGTAGAGGGTTTGTACATTATTGTACCTCTCATTCGTCAATGTTATATTAATTATAGATTGTTATATATTTAAAGGATTATCTTTGTTGGATAGGGTAGCCTTCTTTCCGTTAACTATGGGTGATCATGTATTTGTCGGAGAAAGAGCTGTTGTCAATGCTGCTCTTGTCGGTTCATATGTATACATCGGAAAGAATGCAGTAATAGTATGTATTAGATTGATACTTGGTAGAAAGTAATTAAAGTTAGTCGATAACCTTTATATCAATAATTTGTATCGAACAGGGGAGACGTTCAATACTAAAGGATTGTTGTTACATTGAGGATGATGCGGTAGTACCACCAGAAACAATAGTTCCATCTTTTACTAGATTTTCTGGAAGTCCTGCTGTATGTATAGAGGACTTACCTGAATGTACTCTAGATCTAATGTTAGATTTTACTAAGAATTACTATCAACACTTTTTACCAGCACGAATGTAATATATATGTGTATATTATTATTATATATATTCATTAATATAG